GTTGGACTAAATGATCTGTAAGGTCTTTTCCAACCTTAATGATTCTGTGATTCAAAGCCTGCACCTCTGTGGGCTCATTGCAATGCCCACAGCGTTTTGTGGTCTGTCTCAAAGCACTCCCTGCTTTAGGATGTGACTCATTCCCCAAAATGGTGCTTTGCTCCATCTCCCAAATGGACTCAGTGCCCACACTGAATCTGCCTCTCCTGACACCAGAGATGTGTCTGTCCATGTTGTGTAGACCCCGTGCCCAATCTGGGGATGAGGATGTAGGCTCATCCTGTGCACTGCTTTTTCTTTTTCCATCTTTTGTCTTTTCAATATTTTGTGTATAAACCATCTTATTATCACCATATGGAACTGCAGAATCCCTTTGGGCTGGCTGTGTGGTTCATTCATGGGTTCTTCCCTACAAAACAGAATGATTACCTGAGACTGTCTCACAGAAGTCTTTGGAGGTGGATGTTTTTCCACCCTCCCCAGCATAACGAGAAACCACAGATTGCTCAGCCTTTAGTTCCTCATTGAAAACTATCTTTTCTTTTCCCCTCTGGGAAGCTCTGAAAATTAAAACCAGCAAAAGTACATTTTCTTGTGAGGAGGAAATATTTCTTGGCTGCCTCTAAGTTGCCGTGGGGCTTTGTGAGTGTGTGTGACTGCAAACTGCAGTCAGCAGAGCCTGTGCTGTTGTGCTCTGTGGGCACACATCAGAGCTGGGTGCAGCCATCAGATGGGACAAATGCTTCTGCTTTCCACCTTTTCTTTTGTGAATGGAGAATAGGCACTGCAATAATGTATGCTTAAAGAAGGGGGAAGGCAACAGTAGTCCATCAGCATCTCTGCCCTCTCCTCCCTGACAAATGCACCCTTGCATACATTCTATAGCTTGTGTGAGGGTTCCCATGCTGAGTTCCCCCCTGGAACACGGACAGGAATCATACAGAGTTTTGGGATGGAGAACTGGGAGTGCATCAGAATTGCATCAGAATTGCACTGGTCTTGCTTACATTGAGATTCACTCTTGCTATCCCCAAATTCACGTTTTACCAAGCTTGGTTTGACTTTCAAGGTCAGACAGGAATGAGCTGTAGGTTAGAAGATGCAGATATTTGCCATTTTGCAGTGGACTGCAATGGTTTATTGGCTGTAGGTGGATTGGCTGGAGATCCTTTTTATTACACATCAGTGCCCACAAATCCTCATTGAGGACATGTATTCCTCAGCCCTATGGTATTTATTCTGAAAATCTTTGCATTGCCAGCTTGCAGATAAACAGATCTGACTTCATATCTGCATGATCCTCTGTAAAGATGCAAATAAGGAGGAAACATTTGCATAACGATGTGGGGATCTGAGTGAGATTTATTCAGGGTTATTATTGTTGTTATTACTAACTGGAGATTGCTACAGCAAGGCTTTGAAAGGGAGGAGAGGCAGTGTCTGGAAAAATACGAGATCTCTTCCATCAAAGTCTACCTGTTCACCTCATCACACCAATAACTGGAGAGCTTTTACTTGTTTCATAGGAGGATCTCCTCCTGGCAGAGCTTGTTTCGGCTGAAAGGAAAGGGGACTTGGTACAAAACAGGCTGCTCAGGGAGGTGGTAGAGTCCCTCGAGGTGTTCGAGAACCGTGGAGATGTGGCACTGAGGGACATGCTTGGTGGGCATGGTGGGGTGGGTTGATAGCCAGACTTGGTGATCTTAGAGGTCTTTTCCAACTTAAGTGATTCTATGATTCTAAATGAAGAGAAGACCCTTCTGTGTCTATGAGTAAAGCAGTTTGAAAGGTATGTCCTTGCACCAATGCATTTTACCCCCCTGCAAATAACAGGCAGAGCTCTTTCAATACCATAAAAATCCAGTGAGTGTGATGTTCCTTGGCCCATTAGCCTATTCTAAACATATCCAAGTAAAGGAAAAATAACCTTTTCTCCTGTAAGGAGAATCACAGAATCCTGGAGTGGCTGAGGATGGCAAGACCACTGGTTCCATCCGTCTGACCCAGCAGAGCCAACCAGAGCAGGGTCCCACATCCAGGTATCTTTTGGAGATCCCCGAGGAGGAGACCCTGCAGCCTCTCTGGGTTGCTCAAAATGCACAACCAGACCTCCATCCACGACAAACAGCATATTAAAGGATTCAGACTCTGCCTGCAGCATCCCACAGCACCGCGTTGCTGCGAATCCCGCTGCATTCCCTGGCAGCTGTCGAACGCGTGGAGCCCCGGGGACATCTCTGGGGACATCCCTGCTGTCTGTCTACAGCAGCCTGGGGATGTCTGGAAGCGTGTCGGCAGGCGGGATGCATTCTGTGCCCTCAGGAGCTTCACGTGTGTCTGACAAGGCAATTCCCATTGGGAACTGCAAGCACGAGATGATGATGGAGAGCAGGCAGCGAGCACAGCTCACACGTGGTGCTCTTGGGGTTCAGTGCTGCTCTCTGCTCAGTTTCCTTCACTGAGGATTGCTGTGGAAATAAACCCTCAGCTCCAGGGGCAAGAAGCCCTGTTGTGTTTCCCCCTCTCTTTGTTTGTGACCTCTTTTGTGCTTCTGAGCTTAGTTTCTTTGTTTACAGCCCTGATCTCTGTCTTGTCTTCATGCCTATATCTGTCAAGCTGTTTGCATGCAATTTCCTTAATACATGTGGTTCCTCTCTCTATGATGTTGTAGCCCCTTTACACTGTGTAGCACTCACTGCTCCTGTGATTTCATTCTGCTGTGAAATAGCCACGGACACCTCCTGACACTTTGAGACTTTGTCTGTACATCTCAGGGCCAAAAAAAGCTAAAAAGCCTGAATGGGCTTTCAAGGTTCGATGGGCTGAACAAGGTTCAGCCTGCAGAAAATAAGGCTGTGGGGTGACCTCATTGCAGCCTTTCAGTACCTAAAGGGAGCCTACAAACAGGAGGGGAATCAAATCTTTGACAGGGCAGATAGCAGCAGGACAAGGGGAAATGGCTTTAAGTTGAGGGAGAGAAGATTTAGATTGGATGTCAAGGGGAAGTTCTTTACAGAGAGAGTGGTGAGGTGCTGGAACAGCTGCCCAGAGAGGCTGTGGATGCCCCATCCCTGGAGGTGTTCAAGGCCAGATTGGATGGGGCCCTGGGCAGCCTGGTCTAGCATTAAATATTGAGGTTGGTGGCCCTGCATGTGGCAGGGGGGTTGGAGCTTCATGATCCTTGAGGTCCCTTCCGACCCTGGCCATTCTGTGATTCTGTGTGATTCTGTGAAAAGGCATAGAACCTTAAAGACACATATAGAGGCTCATGGGTTGTGCTTGCACAAGGTGTGTCCTGGGGCAGGGCAGCCCGGCCAGAGCACTTTTCCACACATGGATGCTGTACTTTTCCCTGCTGGCCTTGTTCAGGTGGTAAAAGCCCTTCTAGAAGATGCCTTAAGCCAGTTCCTCAACTGCGTCCCATTGTGGAAAGGATATGGCATGCAAAAATAAGCTTGCCACACTCATCTCCCACTGCATTTATACTGAATATGGGGCTTTTCCCATCTCCCACCCTTTCATAGAACCATCGGATCGACTTTGAGTAGGAAGGGACACTTAAAAGCCAACTAGTCCAACTCCTGCACTGAGGCGGGATAAGTGCCATTCTGGTAGCGATGGTGTTAGCGATTTGTAGGAAAAGGTCAGAAGAAGAGCGTGCACCACCGATTTCCAGCGAACAAAGATACCTGGTCTCCTCCGAGAACACTAGAGGGCGCGTCCACCTTATTTTTGGGAGCGCTCCTCTGCAGGCGTTTCTCGCTTTTCCCCCCAGAAACTGGAGAAGGTTGTGTGAAGGTCTGTAGAAAAGGGAACTTTTCTCCCATTACTGAATCCAAGGGAAGTACTTTTAAAAGCAGGAGATGGGAGCCTGAAAATGGAGGTGGACAGGTTTGGTCCTCCCTGCTCCAGTGGGCAGCATGCAGGAGCCTCGATATCCCCTCCCTGTGCTGGCTCACTCTTAGGATCCTGGTTTTACTCTCTCCTGTGATGCTGTTTCCAGACAGGCTGTCCCCAGAGGAGCAGAGTTAAGGGACACCTGTACAACATAATTGTCTCTTATTGCAGCTATGAGAGCCAGTACTGCAGTAACACCTAATTATTTGTTCATTAATAGAGCTTATTTAGCCACTGCCCAGCCTTCCTTAGGCATCTTGCTCCCATCACTGGTATTTCAACGTGAGGGAAGCTTATTGGAGGCCAGGGATGCTGTTGCTACAGAACTTGCAAAAAGGAGCAAAACATTAGTTGAAAGAGCAGGACTGACCCAAAGAAGAGCATAGAATGTGCTGCCAGCAACATCTCTTTGTACAGCCTTCAGGAGAAAATCATAGAATCATTAAGGTTGGAAAAGACTTCTAAGATCATCTAGCCCAATCAGGACACTGGGGCACTATCCATCATGACAGTAGGGCTCTGGGTTTTCCTAGGGCTGCACAGTCTGTAGGATGTAGGGAGTGCTTGGTTGTTTCTTTCTTTTTGTGAGTGCTGGATGACATTTGATGCATTACTGCCTCTTATTATTAAAAGAGACTCTTGAGCTGAGATGCTTTAAGATATCTGTCCTGGAGAAACTGCTATATGGGGGGAAAGGCCTTGCCTGAAAATCAGATTGTTTTCTCATGTGCAAAGCTGTGCTCTGGAACAGGATGCTCCCCAAACACTAGTAACAAATTAAAGCATTTTTTAAAGTGCTACAGTTTAAAGGAGTGACCAAATCCATTGGAGGAAGAAGGCAAGAACTCCCTGGGCAGCTTTCATGTGGGGCACCCATGAGGTGGCACTGGTGTTGGTGTTTAAAACTCCAAAACAGCATTTAGTTCTCTGTGAGCAGAGAAATGTGGCAACATCCATTTCACAGAATCACAGAATCACAGATTCTGCTTCTTCATAGAAGCAGAATACTTTGCCCTCATGTTCTCTATTGGAAGGAGAATATTGGAATGAAAGCATTCCAGTGCTTTCATCCCCTTTTCCCCAAAGAACTTGTCTGAAGTCTTCTTCTTTCTCATAAAACTCTATCATTTACAACCTTGACTCCAAAACCGTGCATCAAGGTGCCAGAGAATTTCACAGGGGAACCTACACCCAATTATCTTAGTGAGCAGGATCTTTCAGGTCCTTTTGGTGTTTTTTGGAGTCCTTTGGGGGTCTACATGCCCCACTTCAGATACTTCTCCAGTCTTGGCCTTGCAAATTTTTCTTGCTGTTGTTTTCACATATTCAAGTTGCCATTTCCCACTGTGCTCCAAGCTTGCACAGGAAAACATCCCGAATCAGATCCCATAAACCCATGAGTAGCATTGCTTAATGCAATCCATTTTGCAATGTTTCCACCCATATCTGTTTATCCCCCTTGCCTGCCTTTCACAGCAGGGTGGAGGCATTTACTCCACAGCTCTTGGCAGTTACAACCTCTGCATTCACAGGGACATGCTGGCCAGGCTCAGCTGAGCACGGATGTGAGAATGTATTGCAGATACTCTCCACTTTTTCTTGACCATATAAGGGAACATTGCCCTTCCTAATGCTGTGGAATGGGGGTAGAATGAATAACTTGAAGGATTAAGAATGAAATCTGGAGCCTTTTCCCTCCCTGCTTGCAGGCTTATGGGTTGGAATGGATTGTTACCATCTGAAGGCTGGTGAAATGTATTGGCTTTTGGTGGCTCAGTTTCCCAGGTTGATTCTGGCAGTTTGTTGGCAAGTTTGAATGGGTCTGGGGATCCAGCCTTGAAGGAGTCCTCCAAACCAGGGCTGGAGAACAGTGAGACAACACACACGCAAAGGCTGCTGTCTCTTGCTGCATCCTTGCTTCGTGGCTAAATAGGGCACTTGAGTCTTCAGGGCTGAAGTCCATCTGGCTCTTCACAGTCACTTAAGCAGTGTTTTCAAACAGCAGCTGCCAGGGCACCCTCGTCTGCTGCCTTTGTGTGCCAAGATAGAGAAGACCATCCCGTGTCTGCAAGGGTTGTTAGTTCAGTCTCTATTAGCTGTTTCCAGATGCTGCTTTCAGCCAGGAAAGCCTCATGAGTAAAATGTGGGTAAGGTGGTCCTGCAGTCCCTGGGAATTTGTGCAAGAAGGAGAAGTCATCTGTTCAATGGGGAGAAGATGAGAGATGATTTTAACAGCATCTTGGTAGTATGTAAGCTGCAGATAAGTCCTATTCTTGCTGTTGCATTGATGCAGAAGGAAGCACAGCGTTGGGTTGACTCTTTGAAATGGCCTCCAAGGTTCCCCAGGAGAAGTGGAGCTTGTAGGCACTGTGTTGGGTTGACCCTTTGTCTAAAAAAGTCTTTCAGATAGCCCATGGCTATCAAGAAACTGAGCTATGTATGCTCCTAGTTCAAGGTTAAGGAGAAGCCCAGGGCACCTTAGATTTACCTTCAGGTCTGGCTACATGGCTGCAATGTCCATGCTGGCTGGTACTGCCAATCTTGCAGTGTTTTGGTTGAAGCTGGGCCACCATCCTCTGGTTGTATTTACTCCCCAGCCCTCTCTCCTTTGTCCTGTCAGCTCTCCCCTCCTGGGAGTTGAACCTCTTTCCAGATGGCTGGCTGCTCTCCCAGAAGCAGCACAGCACCATTGTAGTATGTAATTAGGCTGGAATTCTCCTTCAGCCCCCTTCATTATTTCAATTACACATATTGTTAAATATGCAAGAGGTTATAAACCCGAGCAGAAAAGGGCCCTCATGCTTTGCCCCTTTTTTCCCCAAGATGTAGTCTTTTAGTGTTTCACCCAGCAACACAGGAAAAATATCAACAATAATAAAGCCTAGCATTGAATGAGGGCATGTCTTGGAAAGATGGAGTCATGTAATCTTTCTAATGAATGAGATGGGGCAGAAGATGAGTTGTGTGAGTTTACCAAGGCTACCTGACACAGTAACAGTAAAGAGACCTAAACACAAGGATTTTCAGGAACAGTTCTAATCCTTAATCCTTCCCCCATTGGGCAGCTCCTAATGAATCTAGTGTATGATCCTGGCCATATTTTTCATAGAGAACTATGAAAAATATCCTGTACCCAGATATCTAAGTAGTAGAAAGTGCAGTTTAGTAGTGCAGGCCTTGGCTTTCAATTTAGTGGCTAAAATCCAAGGAAAGCAGGGAAGCATTTTGGAAGCTTGGACAAATCCTGCTGAATGGGCACTTTGGAGGCGGCCATCTCTGAGTCTTCAAGACTGGTTACTGCAGTCAGTACAGAAAGCAGCAACTGCTCAGCTTCATAAGAGGGTTTGACTTGGTGTAATGTAGATCTCTCCAAAGAGACTGGAACACTTAAAGGGAAGACCATCTTTCCTCTTTGCTCTTCACCGTATTTTAATTTTTACACAACACAAGAGCTCCAGTTGCCAGTGTGATCGTGGTGGAGGCAAAAAAGCCATTTGTAAGGGTCTGAAGGGTAATAGGTCTTTTTAAGAACTTTCCATTTTGACTGCAGACTGTAAATGCGTAGAAACACATAAATAAAAAGATAATACAGATATGGGTAAAGATGCCTGGGAATGGCCAGACCTCCCTTATTCCCATTTGCTTGGGTTTGCCCTGTCTTCTGCACCAGAACAAAAACAAAATCCCCAGAACATCAGACTGTTTCAACATTATCAGATCAGCTCTCTGTCTGCCTGACTCTGTTATACTCCATCATATGCCACTTTGTCAGTGTTGATCTAATCTGTATCAGAAGGAAGACACATAATTGTGAAGAGAAAGCCAAAGTGCTGAAGGGTAATCCCCACACTACTTTTTTCCCCATGTAGCTTTCTGCAGCAGTGACAGCTTTTGGATTACAGATCCAACTCTATGCGTATCAAGAGAATGTCATTCATAAAATCAAAGATTATCATAAAATCATAGGACTGTTTGAGTTGGAAGAGGCCAACTCTCTGCAGTGAACAAGGACACCTACAGCTCGATCGGGTTGCTCACAGCTCCATCCAGCCTGACTGTCAGTGTCTCCAAGAAATTCTCCAGTATCTCCCTCTACAAAGTACATCTGAAATCCTCCTGAACACTCGAGCTGATCCCTCTCCTTATGTTCAACCAGGACTATTTGAGGACACAAGGTGCTGGAACCCCTTCATGGTGTTTGCTAACAGCTCCATCTCTCTGTCCCCTCTGCCAAGGGTGTGAGTCTGTCATGTTCCTGGTGAGACAACTCAGCTGCAACAGGGAATATTTTCAGCTCTGGTGGGTGTTATCATGGCTGCTTGGTCACTTACTGCTGCATTCTGAGGCTTATAATATTGCTCATTAGCTCATGGCACGCAAATGGTCACTTCTGTGCTCTTCAAAATGTCCTTACCTGGTTGCTTCTCTGACAATGAAATCCTCAGCATGGGCAGCTGAGACTTCAACACATCCCCACTTGGATGGCTATGCATTCAGGATGTGTGCCATGTCGAGCCATGCATCTACATACAGGTGACTCTAAATGCTGCCTGGAGCTCCTGCAAGCAGAACCTAAAATACAACCCGATTCAAATGTCTTAGCTTGAGTATTTCTTCCCTTATCTCTGGGTTTATTTTGCTTTGCATGAGAAGAGTCTCACTGAATTGGATGAGCTTGCCTTGCAGTAGTGTTCATTATAGCCTTCTGCTATGTGTAGGCTACTGCTGGAGCATTAAGCTCTGAGTATGTAAGCTCTAAGTGGTGTGTGGCTATATTGCATATCACAGCACTCTTCTGTTCTGTAGCTGGGCCCTGCAGAAAGGGAGATATGGGTGGAAAGCCATGAATAATAATGCACATTTATTTTCCATTGGTACAGAACAGATGGGTTTTCTAGCATCCTTCAGTTATATACATCATCCAAAGCCCAACACAAAACGACACCTCACTTTTTTTCCAAGAAGAAATGAGGTTAGAGAATTTTTAGAATGCTTTTTTTTTCTTTTTTTTTTTTTTTTTCCTTTTTTTTTCCTGTCTCATACAGAGTAACATGGGCAGCTTTGTGACATGATTATGTCAGGGTCATTGTATTGAACTTAAGTGGAGAACAGGCTGCTAGTGGGACCTTTCTGTTCAGGCAGTGGCAGGTCCCACTGTCCCCTAGATGGAGAATTAAGGATCAGGACATTGGGTTGTGTGTGGCAGAAGAGGAAGCAATGGAGAAGGAAGCTGGAGAGGAAGAAATGGACCAAACCTGTCAGCATGTTTTAAGACTCACTTACCAAGTCTCACTCTTGGTGCATAAACCTGACAATATCTGGAGCAGTGGCAGTTTTTGAAGGGTTGCTTTTTGCTCTTTCTCACCTTCTGTGGGGTGAGATAGCCAAGCAGACTATGTCTTGAGCAATGGTCCCTGTGATGTATTGTTTCCTTCTGCCAGAGAGAACCATCAGTGGGAACCACCAGCAAATCCTACTCAGTACAGAACTAGCAGAATCTCAAAAGCAAGAATCTTTGCCAAAATCCCAACCATTCCCTTTGACTAAAACCACACTTTATATTTTATTTGAAAATTTTCAAGGCAGGGAACAGAAAATAAAAATAAAATCAGCCGTGCATCTGTTCCAGCTTGGTGTATTTATGCATGTATATTTTACTTTTGAGATACTATAAGTGGTTTAGGACACGAGGTACAATTTTTCAGTTCTGGGAAAGTGCCCATGAGAATCTCAGTTCTTATGGCCCTAATAATTCTTAGGACTGAGATGTGGAGTACCCGAATCTGACTGAGATGTACCTAATATCTCAAGGAAATTCCTGGTACCTCCAGGAAAAGAAAGAGATTCAGGAAGCCGTGCCCTGAATATTTTTTCCCAAGCCATATCTGGTACTATTTTCTCTGTTACAGCTCCTATTGCAACATTTATGAACATCTCATAAATGGGGATGAATATTTATCAAAGGGTGATTGTACATCTTGATTTGGCTGGTGATTTTCCCAGGAGACTGATGACATTCCCACCATCCTGAAAATAACCTATGGAGTATTTGGTTTTAATTGGGGCATGGGTTTTCTACTGTATTGTTTGAGCTTACCCCTGGGAACCAGCCCGTCCTGAGGGATGGGGAAGTGACACAGTGCTGGTGTTGGCTCCATTTCTAGGGTAATCTGATGAGGTGAGTGCCCCATATCATGGCTTCTGGTATAGATGCATAGTCCCTGTATAACCACTTTTTAATACTTCTTGTAATTTGTTATATACCAATCCATAGAGATTAAACTGCTTGGAGGCCTCTTTTCATTCAACAGTGATTGTGAGATTTTGCCATGGAAAAATCAACCCAGGTAGATGAGGGAAATGACCTGGCTCTTTCTACCTATGTGGGCTGGGAGCTGATGAAGACCAAAGTGTCTGAAGTTGATGTCTTCTACTAACCTGGCCTTGAGCATCACCAGAGATGGGGCACCCACAGCTCCCTGGGCAGCAGTGCCAGTATCTCACCACCTTCACTGTGAAGAATTTCTTCCTAGTATCTAATCTACATCCACCCTCCTTTAGTTTAAGAACATCCCCCCTTTTCCTATCCCTGCACTCCCTAACAAAGAGTCTCTCCCCATCTTTCCTGCAGGCCCCACTAAGTACTGGAATGCCACTACAAGGCCTCTTCAGAACCTTCTCTTCTCCCAGCTCCCTCAGCTTGTCTTTATAGGAAAAGTGCTTCAGCCCTCTAAACATCCTTGTGGGCCTTCTTTGAACTTGCTTCACAAGTCTCTGTCCTTCCTATACTGGGGACCCTGACTAAGTCTGCTCTCCTTAGCTGGAGGCAGCTGGAAAACGAAGCCAACTGAGCTGCTCCTGAGGAGTGGTGTAGGGTTTGGGCTGTGTACATCCTCTCAAGTACCTGATGAAGAAGCAGAGGTCCTAAAGCCATGACAATCACAACAGAGTTCAGCCTGCTCACAGCTACAGAGAAACCACTGACTTACAATGGGGATTCTGCTGCCATCCATCAAGTGGTATCTCAGCTGTGACTACCTGTCAGAGAAATTTTACTGCAGATGCTTTATCCCCTTATGACTTGCAGTGGACACCTTGATTTATGGCTTCTAGCTCTCAGCCCAGATGGAGCAGTGTTGCAGTGGTATTGGTTGACACAGGCTGCACAACCTGGGAAACCGCTGCTGTGTCACCCAGTAATGGGAAGGCAACAAGAACCATCTGCTCTCCTTTTCCCCTGTGACCACAGTGACACAGAAGTGCTAATCTGAAACAGGAGGAAAGAGAACCAGTCCTGTGGACCAACTCTGCCTGTGCATCACCCGGTGTGCAGCCACAGCCCACTGATGCCTTATGTGTGGGTCTGTAGCAAACTACCCTCATGAACTACAGAAAGAGCTCTGCAAAAAGACTCTGGCTGTCTTTACCACAATCCCTGTTTCACCCACTGCATGGGCTGGAGCAGGTTAAACAAATGTGGATGTTCAGGGCAGGGGATTAGGACAAAAGCACCCAAATTCACAGCCTTGTGGGGCAGGTGAGAAGCTGATGCATGGTGTGAGGGTGGTTTAAGTTACCTTCTATGCCTGCAGGAGCTGTGGGCAACTGTGTTCATCTCTCAGTGTAGGACAGGAGCTAAATCAGAGAGCAGCTCTGGAGGAACTAACATGAAATATCAGATTGTATTGGTAATCAGTAAACACTACATCAGATAGTCAGCGTATGGAGAGCAGAAGCTCGATTGCCATTAAAAATCCCCATCTCTTTATTTTCTTACCCGAGATAGCACTGACACATCCTGGTGCAGGGCATGAGAAGGATTTTACTGGCATGTGCTTGGGAAATCTCATTATTCATGAATGACAGAGCGAGGCAAAGGGAGTGAATTATGCTGGCCTTTGCAGACAAGTGGCAATAAAATAAGTTTATGGTACCGCCTCCTGCACCATCACATATTTATGTTGCATATTTATCTTGCTTTGTTAGCCATTTGTGCTCGCTTGTCTTGCAAGGCCATCCTGCATCCTTCCCCCTGGAGTGGGAAGGGATAGATTCTTATATCACAGATGGGCAGCAGTGACCTCATTCCATCTCCATGGAGACTTCTAGAAGAAAGTCCTTTTTGGCATCACTGGGGGTCAAGCCTACCTATCCATTGGCTTCCTCCATGTTCAGGCCAACTGGAGGCTCTTGGTGGGGTTAAGCCCTACCTCTCTCAGCATTTTGGGCCACATGCTGATCAAAGAACAGACTACAAAGATCTTGATGCCATGACTGGAGGAGCTTTGTACTCGGTGAGTAACTCTTCACGTAGAGTGGCTGTGTAAGCCTGCCCTAATGCCACTGTCTGCTGAGTCAGCTTGAACACGGGACTACATATGATAAGAAGGTAAAAATGGACTCCTGGTTTTCTTATGGATTAGTATCTCATGATTTCTTTTTTAATTTTATATTTCGTGTTTATAATTGCCTGTATAAAGAGCTTCCACTTGCCTTGACCATACCTTCTCCATACCATGCCTCTTCTCATATTCTCATGGCTTGCCACTGATGATATTTGATTGTAGGAAGCAACTCCTTTGGGTTCCAAAGTAATTATGGACAAATGGATTCCAAGAAATTAATTTCTCCTTTGTTTTTGTTCACTTAAAATAAGTGTCTATGCAATATCCTCCCCTGTGCCTGCTAACAGGTACAAGAGCTACTCTGTACAAGAACATATGCAGATACAATTGCATGCATGCTCATCACTTGCTAGGACTAGAACAGAATGATATTTTGCTTTTTAGGGTAAAAAGGTACTTTCCCCCCCCCCCTTTTTAGAATCATAGAATCATTGAATAATTAATGCTGGAAAGACCACTAAGATCATCTAGTCCCACCATCAGCCCATGCATTTGCCTGCTCTAGAACATGTCCTCCAGTGCAACATCCACCCTTTCCTTGAACACTTTGAGGGACAGTGACTCCACCACCTCACCAGGCAGTGTGTTCCAATGTATTATCACTCTTCCAGAGAAGAAATTTTTCGTAATATCCAAACCTGAACCTCCTGTGGTACAACTTATGGCCTATTCATTCTACATATTTGTAGATCCTTGTAATCACTACTGACTTTTTGGAAAAAAAAACAACCCTACATTCCTGTAAAGCCAATTATGTTGCCACTTGTATCATCACATGTCCTTGGCCATAGACAGTTTTGTTCCTTGGTATCTGACAACAGGAGGGTTTTATCCTCTCATGTAACGTCCAATTTTTGGCCCATGATGTGCAGAAGACAGGTGAGTGCAGCCCTTTGTGATGTCTGACAGCAACGTGCAGCCTCTGGTCTATTCCAGCAGTCCTCTGCTGCCCTGTCTGAAGGACAGGAATTTGCACATTCTGCACATGAATTACTTGCAGAAGGATGGATGTTTGCAAGATGCAAAGTAGGGGGCACTAAATTGTGATAAGCAGAGCGTTCTATTTCACTTCATGATGGTGCAGTGATAACTCCTCTCCACGTCATCTTTGCTTCCCTTTCCTGAGTTATTGGCACATATTCCCCTTTCCTGCCAGCTTCAATGGCTGTTGCTAACTCAGCCAGAGCCCATCTTTCAACCCTGAATAATCAAGTGAGTGGGACAGCTAGCAGAAGGACAATCTCCCTTGAGGACATGATGGCCCTGACATACAAACACATCCAAATACAGACAGTGAGGTTGAAGGGAGCAGACCAGGTGGGCAAAATGCCCATGCTGGTGCACTGTGATTTTACAAACAAGATAATAAAAGGTAACAACATCTCTACCGCAGTGCTAATCCTATGTGACTGCCTGCCTCAGCCTTGTGTGCTCAGTCTGACTCTGCTCTGCTCAGCCTGTTGGCTTCCCTTCCCAAGCCTTCTATCCCACCAGCTGAGAGTGGGAGAGGATGCTAGAGAACTAAATTTTGCCTTTTTCTTATCCAAAATGCCAGTGCTACAGCAGTAAGCTGAACTGAGGATTCCCAGTCTCTCATCTTCTTAGCAAGAGGCAAATCCATCAGCAAGACCAAGCTCTTAGATGGCCTGGGTTTATTGGTGTTTGAGATAAGAGACTGTCTCCCTCCTACCCAACAGCCTGACACAAGGCTCAGATCCTGCTAAAGTCTACTCAAAGGTGGAACAATACCCTGACGTTCAGAAATATCACAGTATTTCCCTGGTGTAAGAGTTGTGGAAGATCCAAATGGCATCACTAGGTGCTTTGATACAGTTTTGATCCTTGTTTGATGTCATCTCTGACGTGTTGCACACACGTTTGATGGCTTCAGCAAATTCTCCACTGAAACACGTCACGTATGTGCTCAGCAGGACTTAACCTACACACAGCAATTGTTTATGTGTTTGCAAGTTCCAAGTTCATACCTTTCTTAACGAGTGCTTTGAGGCCAAAACACACTGCTGACATCTCAGCAATCTACCTGGCTCTCTGGAAATTCTTAGTGTAAGAATGAAGCATGCTGACTTGGGGATGGAGAAAGAAACACAAAAGGTCTTAAGATTTCACTGATTTCTCCTGAGACCCTTTTCTGTACACAAAGTGTTTCCTGCTCTGTTCTTGGAAGCATTACCCTTGGCTGGGTCTGGCCTTTAAAACATTACCAGCTGTATGCAAAATAGAGTGCAAAGTGCCAAAAAGCCCTGCGGGCTATTTACATTTGGCTGGAGCTTGCTGTGTTGGCCAAGCTACAGAGATACTTTGTTCATCAGCCTTGCAAGGAAAGCAGCTACTTCAAGCTGTTTGGTGCTGTTTATACAAAGAGTTACCATGGAAGTCCCTGTACCTTGCAGCTTTACACACTCACTTGTCTGGGAAATATTTTTCTGGGACCTGGTTTGCCTCCCTTCTCCCCTCCCTTTTGGCTGGGTATTGGTAGGAGATTCCGGGATAAGGTGGTTGGGTAGATGTTCAGTGCAGACTGATTTTTTTGTCTTGAATGAAAGGTTATTTGGAGTTACGTGGATCTTTTCTTGATGCAAGCACAAGCAGGTGGAGCAATGAGGTATCTGCTGGATTGACAGCAATGTTTTTCCCAAAGTAAATTTGGGGAAAAGTAATATGAAGCAAATGGAAAGTGCTTCAATGACAGGCAAAATGGTAACTTGTCTTTTGAGTCCTTGGGTTATCAGCTCCACTTAGCAAGCATATTTCTTGCCATTTTCTTCTTCTTTTGTTTGCTTACCTGTTGTATTAAGAAGAATTCTCAAAGCTGAGGACTTGTCACTAATCACCTCTTACAACTATGCGCCATTGGTAGGCTGATTGATGGCATGGCTGGGTGCAAAGGCATGGCTGGAGGGCCTCTCCATCTGGCTGCAGGTTTCCATTTTAGGGCATGCACATCTCTGTCCTGGGAACCTGTGCTGGGCCAGGCTAACAAATTGTTTTCTTGGCCTTGTACCAAGTCCCATGGTCATCTCAAATGCTTGATGGAATGGTTTGACCACTGCTGCAAGAAATCATTATGAAATGTTAGGAATGGAGACGTGCAAACTTCACCATCTGATCATAGAATCATAGACTCAGTAAGGTTGGAAAAGTCCACAAAGATCAAGTTGAACAATCAACCAACACATCACCACCATGCCCACTAAACCATGTCACTGAGTGCCACAGCTGTCCTTAATGGTGAAGCACAACTTGCTGTGTCCAAGTCTGACTGAGATCAGGAGGACTTTTGACATTAATTTTTGCAAAGCAAAGATTTGTCACTGAGAAATTCTGCTGTTTTGAGCAGGTGGAGAGGCCACAAAGCTAAACCCAGCAGGTGACCAGAGGTCTCAGAGCACAGTTGGCTTGGCTGGAGCTTGGAAAGTGCAGCTACACTTGTGAACTAAAGGCTCTCCTGCTGCTTCAGCTTTCGGACATCCTTAATAAGAAAAGTAGAAATGGTTGGGAAGCAAAACAGCAATGTATCTTCTGTCAGTGTGCACTTGCTCTCCACTGAAGAGAGTCAGCCAAACCTGGAGTTCATTCTCTCTTGGCCAGTAGTTAATAATGACCCTGCAACAGTTTCTTTCTTTCTTTGCAAATTAAGAGTGGATGAATGGCCTGGATAAAATTAAAAATGTCTACCTGAATGGCTGGGTTGAACTCTTTGAAGTTTACAAAGTTGTAGCTCCAGGGACCTTCAATTGCAACTGGGGAATTTTTGCCACTGTCAGAAGGCTGAATAGATAGAAAAAGCACATGCATGTTGCATGCTGCGGGTTAGGGGATCAGCTTGGCAAAACTCAACTTTATTTCTGTATCTTTTGTGTAAAGAGAAGATAAAGGCACAACTGGAAATAACAGAGCTGCTGTAATGAACTACCTGTCCCCTTACAATCATATAATCACTAAGGTTGGAGAAGATTCCCAATATCACGTAGTCCAATGCCAAGCCACCCCCATTGTGCCCACTAATGATGCCCTTCAGTGCCACATCTCCATGGTTCTTGTATGCCTCCAAGGATGGTGATTCTACCACCTCCCATCACTATGTTCTTCTGCACTGTCCCATGAGTGAGTTTGAATGTAGAGCTCAAACCAGAAAGACCTGAAGTGAATGGCTGTCAGCAGTGACTGCTTAAAGTATGGCCATTCAAATGTCTTTGTGTCCCCCACAGTCTCAGTTAATGTGGACTGAGCCATTGACTGCTCCAGTTTTGCTGACATTTAAAATAATCCACTGAGGTTAGTAGAGACGATGTAGACCAACTTAGTATTAGATGCAGATAGTATTAACATTTATATCCCCTCTAGAAAGGCTGAGGGAAGCACAGGTTGCCTTCTTAATGAGGTATTAAAAAAAATCTCCAAACAAAACAATATGTGTTTGATAGCCTGGGAGATCTGACTGTTGGTTTTAAAAGTCATTCTGGGCCCTTATATAACAGCGTAATTAGTTGATACTATAAACTTATTATGTACCTGATGGAACACAACAGTTCCTTTGAAGCAATTCTGATCTATTGTGTAATTATATAATTAGGCCACATGCCATACTTCAGAGATTGTGCAAAGGGGGAAAGCTTTCCCTTTCAGAGTAACCAAGAGCCTTGGTGGCTATAGGCATTTCTTTTCCCTGCTGCCTTGCAATTTAGAAAATGCACAACTCTTAAATACATCACTTCTCTTTGTCTGAGTTAAGTGCCCCAGGAGGCTCCAAGAGGGTCTGCAATTTATTGACCATAGAGAGATTTCCTTGGACAGTACAGACCTGCTCTGCATGCCATCAAACGTGATGGGATCCGGGACCTCTGGCCACAATGGAAAGGAAGCAGAAGTCAAATAACTTGCTAAGAGTTTTTAAAATAATCTTGTTGCATCAGGTTCAGGCTTTTTAGCAGGCAATTCTGATTTATAACAGCTGGCTTTCCACTTCACTCTTATAAAAGCTTTTACATATTTTCCTCTTTGGGTAGATGAGACAGCTCTGTGTATGACAAATGACAAGAGCATCTGAGGATTTAGAATCTGGAGTGTCTAGCAGCAGCTCAGTGCTGTTTTTCAGCCAGATGCTGACTGGCACTGTGCTGACAAATAAGGACTGATGGGACGAAATCAAGCTTGGTGGGCCCTGTCTATGGTGACACACAAGAAGAAACGGCTAATTTGTTGAGTTTGATGCTCCAAAATAGGTCCCCAAAGTAGGATGAGCACCTCCAGATCTCAGAGCCTGATCTTGCAGTACTTTGGCATGGGGTGGGATAGAATCACAGAATCATAGAACAGAGTGATAGAATGGGACATCACAGGCTGTCCAGATTCAGACAATGCTCTCACACATATGGTCTGATTTTTTTGGGTGGTCCTGTGTGGAGCCAGGAGTTGGACTTGATTATCCTTATGGGTCCCTTCCAACTCGGAATATTCTGTGATTGTGTGATGAGGCAAGTAGAGATTTTGGGAAGGATGTCCTGACCATAGTACCAACCTTCAAGAAGAGGATTGCTTCAGGTGGAAAGGAATGTTATTCATGACTCCCAGGCTGTAAAAGTGATGATAATGTTGGAGTTTGGGGATTTCTGACTGACTGGAACATACTTGTTCCTGGAGTAGAAAGAAGAGTCTCAAAGGAGTTAATCCAAGATGTGACTTTATGGAAGGATTTTGAGAAGGTATTGTGACAGAGCTTAGGACTCCCTGGAAACCAAGCACTTGCACTACATCCTGTGTTTGAGAGCTGGTCCGAACTCTAAATAAAAGGGATTGCTTCCCTTGATATCATTGCTCTGGTGGGATAAATCCTCAGTCTTGATAAGAGCTGTCAGCTCAATCACCATTCATCACACGGCACAGAAATGTCATTTTTAATGATCGGGCTTCCTTTTGGAGGCTGTACTGGAGTGACTCCTTGACTTAATGTCTCTGAAATTGTGCTCCAAGGGGGTCTTCTGGTAGCAAAGTCCTCATTTCTTCATTACTTGGGCACTAGGGGAAGAAGGTCACGTTCCACACTCTATTTTTAAGAATGTATTTGCATACAGCTGCAGTGGGCTGGATTCTGATACCTGGTATAAATCCTGAACAATTTAATTAAAGACAGTTAAACCATGCTATTTGTGAAGCCTACCCCTTCTGAACACAAAGTACAAAAGGACAGTTGCAGGGCTCTTGCAAAACAACAAATAAATGCAAAAATTCATCTGGGAGCATTAAGGAATTTTTCAGCAAAGTCTCTAGATCCAAGATTATTTTTTCCTCATGAAAAGCTACATTATTTCCCCCTTGCTGTAGAATAATATTTTCTGTTATTGAGAGCCATGCAAATTAATCATGTGAAGAAATCAGACCTACCCAACAGACTGGAATGTATCATGAGATATATATATACACACACCTGTAGATGTACAAGTAGAAACTACACAGAAAAAGATGTTAGTCAGAAGATATAACTTTTAAAACTCTACTTTTCCTCAAGTATTTTCCACATTATCCCCTGCTGAGCTGCCATGGCTGGAGGACCCTGAAGACGAAATCAAGCATAAGGTTTATTTTATATCATTTTGGCAGCCCTATGGGGACCTTTGTAGGCTCTTTTTTTGAAGTTGTTTGCAGGTTTTCTTCTACCTCAACAAGGAGAGTCCTGAATGGAGTGTGTTTATGTGGGGTAGGCAGATTGATTCACTTGGCTGGAACGCTCTGTCCAGCTATGCTCACCCCCTGATGGGACAGCTGCCAGCTCAATGGGGTTGGCTTGGACCCTGTTGGAGGATCAGAGAGTAGCTGCGGGCTCTCTTGGAACCAGCTGTGCCACTGTGCCAAGCAAATCTCAGCTCAGTAGAGAGTCTGGCCTGCAACATGGGCTGCACGGTGCTCCTGCCAGCTGAAATGCTGCCATGAGGTTGCTTGCTCCTTGTTTGCCCAACAGCCTCCGCAAAGCTTAGAAAAGCTGAAAAAATGCAATGCTTCATCTTCTACTTGTTTCTGCTGTCAGCCTCTAACTTAAGGCTTTAACATTCAATGACAGATACAAATGCTTGGTTTTTATGTGGCCAGGCAGCAGACACAAGCTCCTTTGTGCTTACACAGAGTGGAGATCACGGGATGAAGATTTCAGCTCTGGATGTTAAGGACTGTTGATTCTGTCAGTGGTGACTCCACAGGGCAATGGTGTGGTGGGATGTGGGGTATGGATAACAGAATGCTGCTCCTGGCCCTTATTATTGAATTAGAAACATACAATCACTGAGGTTGGAAAGACCATTGAGATCATCTAGTCCAATCCCAACCCACCTCCATCATGATCACTACCCACATCCCTCAGTGCCACATCTCCACTATTCTTTAACACCTTCCGGGACAGTGACCCCACCACCTCCCTGGGCAGCCTGTGCCACTGCATCACCACTCTTTCAAAGGAGGATTTTTTCATAATATCTAACCTGAATTATGATCATAATGGTCTTACTTTAATTCTTGTTCTTATTCTTTTTATCACTGCTGTTAGTATTGCTATTCCCATTGCGATTGCTACTGGAATGGAGAGACCGCCTCTGATTCCACTACCTGTTCAGAATGAAGACAGTTCTTCCACAATAAATAATTGCACTGTACTCAGATCTAAAGCCAAAAGGTGGGAAAATGCAGGGTTATGGTAGCTGTAGAGATAGATACGGGAGAGGCTCCCATCCAGAGACAGGAAGATCTTCGTCATCTATGGTCTAACTCCCTCAGAGGGACTTTCACTGTAGGGCTGAGTTTTCAAATTGTGTTGTGACATCACATTAGTGCATCTCTTCCATATTTCTCCAAAATCACAGGTGCTAGGACTGGTTTCCTCCGGTAACATTTCCTTGCAGAACATGTCCTTGACTCCTCCGATGTTCTCTTAGGGGACAGTGATGTTTCACGAGGACGGTCTCAGCAATCCCTATGCTGTTTCACTGGCTGTGGTCTCTCCATCTGTTCAAACCTTTTCTCTCCTGGTGAGAGTTTAGTTTTCCTTGCCTTAAAAGGAGGCAACTTTCACCACTGATGTATCTGCTTTCCTTTGCCCCTTGCTGCAGTTTTCATCAACTGATGGTACATCTGTATTCCTGGGAAACTAAGCTGTCCTCCACACCTAATTTCTCTCTGTCTCCCACTCTGCAGGCAGTGATGTATCTTTGCCAATTTATTGAAGAATTAGCTAGGATAAGAATCTGTGTACACTTTATACTTTACTTCCCAACACCAACCATTAATAATGAGCATGTCCTTTATGACCTAACTCTTGTTTTAAGTGAATGCAAAGTACTGTCTCTGTTCTTGATGATCCACAACCCTCACAGCCCCATATTGTTACCTGGAGTGTTTCCAAGTGTTTTGAAGCAAAGCACCAGAATACATCACAAATGAACCAGTTTTGCTTGTCTAAGTTTTGTCTCTGGGGATTTGGGAGGAATGGCAGGGGAGGAGAGGGATGAATATTTATTAGCTTTTAATCAAAGAAAGTGCTCTCTGTAACCAGACAAGCTACTGTCTGCATCTGATCGAAGAGACACATCAAGGTCCCTGATTCTTTGCTGCACTGTAGCTCGTGTCATTGCTAGCTATGCAAATGGGTTGCAAAACACAACAGGTCTGTGTTTGGATTTCCTTCATCTGGATTTTC